AGGGAGGCGAGTGACTAACCGGTGAATAGTGAGCCACATGGGGGGGGTGCAAGGGCAAGCTGTTCCTCAGTGCAAGCGGCCTTGAAGCGAGCTTCGAGGGAGCGCAGGTGGGTAGCGAGGTCAGCAACAGTCTCAAAGGAGGCGAGGTCAGGGTAGATAAAGGGGACGAGGAGGCGGTTGAGGGAGGCAGAGGAGGGAGTGGAGTAGCGAGCAACAATAGCAGTGTAAAGGTCTGCAGCAGACTCGACCTGAGTGAAGTGGACAGCCTCAGTCGGCGGGAGAAGGTCGGTCAGGGCGAGGCAGGCAGCAGCGTCACGAGACTCCCACACGTCACGAGCGAGGAACCGGCGCTGGTACTCAGCCTCCTGCTCGGAAGTAGGCGGTGGGGTAGTGGGCAGCGGTGAAGGCTGCGGAGGGGCGGGCAGAGCACCGGACGCATGCGCAAACAGGTGCACGCCATCCTGGCGCTGGCTCCTAAGGTGGCGCTGGGCCTGCGTCAGCCAGGTACTAAAGTCGATCGCACGCCCCTCAGGGTCGAAACGGAGCACGCGAGACGTCGCCATGAGGGGCGAGGACAAGTGATAGCGGCCGCCAGCCGCGAGAGGAGGAGGAGAGGGAGGTGAGTGCGAGGCGGGTGCGCGCAGGCGGGGCGCGCACTGGCTGGGCGCGGGGCGGCGAGGCGCGCGCTGGCGGGGCGCGCTCCGGCGCGGCGCGCTGGCTGGCGTGGCGCGCGGGCGCGGCGCGCTGGCGTGCGCGCTGGCGGGGCCCGCTGGCGTGGCGCGCTGGCGGGCGCGCTAGCGGGCGCGCTGGCGTGCGTGCTGGCGGGCGCGCTGGCGAGCTCGCTGGCGGGCGCGCTGGCGGGCTGGCGTGCAAGCGGGCTGGCGCGCAGGCTGGCTGGCGCGCTGGCGCGCAGGCTGGCTGGCGCGCTGGCGCGCTGGCTGGCTGGCGCGCTGGCGGGCTGGCGCGCTGGCTGGCTGGCGCGCTGGCGGGCTGGCGCGTTGGCTGGCTGGCGCGCAGGCTGCTGGCTCGCTGGCTGGCTGGCGCGCTGGCTGGCTGGTTGGCGCGCAGGCTGCTGGCGCGCTGGCTGGCTGGCGGGCGCCCTGGCTAAGGGCGGGGAGGGGAGGGGCGCGCCGGCTGGGGCGTGGGGTAGGGCGCTGGCGGGCTGGCAGGGTGTAGTGGTAACCCTAGTGGTAGGGAAGGGCGGGCCTAGGACTAGGAGCGCTAACCTACTGCTGATACCATGTCAGAATGAGAACTACAACGGAATGCGTTGTGTTGACAGGATTGGGGTACATCACCTAACCCTAACTAGTTGTACCCCATATAGCCCAACCCACTACAGGCTATAATATTTGACAAACAGTTACCAAGGCGCAACTGTATAACAGTTGCGCTGCGTCGCTTGGGTTGCCTTGTTACAGTTGCGCTGGCGAGACTTTTCAGCTTCGGCAAGGGCGCGGTATCCGACCGCGCCCCGCAGGTCAGTTTCGCGTACTGTAGACGATGACTCCTGCTGTCGATTCGACTCTTGAGCTGCCACGCGGGTCGCAACCGCTGTGTTCGGTTGCGGCCCGTTGGCTCGCCACCAGGTTCAAATCCCTCGCTATGGCGAGCCCCTGTAAACACACTTCGAACAGTGCACTTGTAATAAAAGCATACAAACATATTCTCAACAATTTTTATGTGTGCCTGTGCTCATGTCTTAATTTTATGTGTGCCTGTGCTCATGCCTTATTTTTATGTGTGCCTGTGCTCATGTCTTATTTTTTATGTGTGCCTGTGCTCATGTCTTATTTTTATGTGTGCCTGTGCTCATGCCTTATTTTTATGTGTGCCTGTGCTCATGTCTTATTTTTGTGTGTGCCTGTGCTCATGTCTTAGTTTTATGTCTGCCTGTGCTCGGGTCTTCTCACACAAAGGTCCACAGAAGCCCTGATGCATTTGTGCTGTCACTAGGTCTGTAGGCAGATCCCTCAACTCAACCCCTGCTGAGGCCCTATTCTAAAACTACGGTAAGTGGCTTGCCTAAAAGCTGCTGAAACATGCCCTACTGCACCATACCCACACTTACAGCCAATAGCACCAGATCACATCCCCGGACGGTCATGGCCATACCAGTTCAATCTGCACATTACAATGTATGTAGGGCTCCATATGCTTAGAGGGACAAGTTGATAACTTTATATAGTACGGGTAAGATCCAAAAGGTGTTCAAGCCTAGCGCCCATGATTGTCCTCTGTTCCATGTGCTGAAAATGTGGGCATCTGTTTCTAAACCTCCACAAAAGAAATGCATGGACTATCGGCTGATTCTCTGTGCTCCTAGCCTCATGCCAGTGGGCTTCTTCCCCCCACTGTCATCCCCAAGCATACTCTCTAGATCCATATTCGCCCCTGCTGGCAGCTTCACATGCCCACTTGCCGTACCACCAGCTCCGCCTCGGCTTGCTGCCGAACCTCTGCTAACTGCCGAGCCAGATGTGCCAGCTCCGGCGCGCAGAGGCTTGGCCGAGCTGACAGGAGCAGGAGCAGCGATGGCGGCCCAGGGATCCTCATCCTTACTGGTTGAGTGTGAGGCAGCAGACGAGGCTGCTGCTGGTGCCGGTTTCCCTCTTGTCACACCCAGGGACCCACCGGCCTTCCCTGCCGCTGCTCCTCCACCTAATCTCACCGCTGCTGGCCGCACTGGTGCTGCTTTTTGAGGCGACGCAGTGGGAGCTGTTGCTGCTGCAGGGGTAGCAGCAGGAGCAGCAGCAGGAGTGTGATGCACCACCGGTCGTTGCTGGGCTGCTTGCATGCGAGAGAGAGAGGCTGCAGCAGCAGCAGTGGCGGCAGAAGCAGCAGCAGCGGCAGAAGCAGCAGCAGCACCCTTAGACGCAGAACTCTCCTCCCCATCATCCAGATCGCCCCACCCGTCCCCATCCTCCTCCTCGTCCTCCTCTGCTTCGGGTTCAGCTGGGGAAGGTGCGGCTGGGGCAGGCTTGGAGAAGGTGTGAGAGGAGGGGGCGGTGGGTCTGGCGGGGGCGGTGGGTCTGGCAGGGGCTGGTCGGTGAACTGAGGGCTTTGGTTTCGGCTGCTCTTCCTCCTCCTCTTCCTCGATTTCTCCCCACCCGTTGCCCTCAGGCTCTGATGCTGCTGTGGTGTGTGGGGTGGTGAGGTGAGGTGAGGTGAAAAACAGGAAGGAGGAGGGAACGGTTTGTTCACAAGAAAAGAGGATGAAGAGAAGGCGAAAGAAACAAGTGATAAGCTGGCAAGAGGCATGCTGCAAGCTTGAGAAAGGCAACGCACCAGCGGCAGCAGCAGACGTGGCAGTGGCGGAATCTCCTGCTGAGACAGCAGCAGCAGCCCCGGCAGCTGGTGCAGTGGGGCCTGCCTTGGGCCCTGCTGAGGTGAGCGAGCTGACCGCCCACCTGGAGTTGAGTAGGCGGGGGTATGGGAGGGAGAACGGAGGGGTTTAGAGGGATGATAAGACATGCACACGAATGGTGGGAGTGGCCAGCCTTGGGAACACTGCTGTTCCTGGCCCGCCTTGGGAATGGAGATGAACACGAATGCTGACAGCCCGCTGAGGTGAGTGAGCTGACATCCCAGCTGATTTGGGGAGGATGGAGGGGGCGCGGGAGGGAGGGAAGATATGAGGAGCAGAAGCATGAGAGAAGATGAGAGGAGATGGGAGTGAAAGGGAGAGAAACATGCGTACTTGAACAGCCCGCCAAAAGACATCTCAAATTCAACACATGCAGCAGAATTGTGAGCTCACCCCAACAGCCCCCCAGACGAGCCGGCAGCAGCAGGAGCAGCAGCAGGGGCTGCGGCTGCTGCTCCCTGGGCTTGATGTCCAACCGAGTGCCCTTCCAGCTGCCATTGGAATGGAGAGAGCAATCGAAGCGGAGGGGAAAAGTGGGAAGAGGGTAGGAAGTGAGAGATGGGAGCAGCAGGAGCAGCAGCAGCTGCTGGCCTCTGGGCTTGATGTCCAGCTGTGTGCCCTTCCAGCTGCCACTGGAAAGTAGAGGTTAGAAGCAGCGGTATCAGACAGAAGAGGGAGCAGTGGGAACAGGATGAAGGAGGAGGGGAGTGGAAGGGAGGAAGGATGGTGACGAGTGCATGAGCATCAAATTCTTCGGAGTAAGAACATGGAAACCACACATAGTTGAAAGGGGGAAACGCAGAGCGACAAAGAAGGGGAAATGAGAGGCTTGAAGGTTCACACTTGGTTGACAGCGCATGCGAATACAATAGGAGAGGAGAAGGAGGGTGTGTGTGACGGAGAAGGGTGGGTTTGCCGTGGGGTGATCACCTTAGCGTGGAAATCAGAGACAGACTGGAGGAACGAGAAGGCGGCCTGGACTGCCCTGGTGTGCACATCACTGGCAAGGGGGTGAGAGGTGGGGGGGGGGGGGGGGAAAGGGGGGGTTTGCGGTGAAATGATGGACACGTGAAGGGGTGAGGCGCCTCAGAAGAAATGAGGTGGTGGGGTGGGAGGGGGGGTGGTGGGGTGAAATGATGACTTTGGAAGCCTGGAGAAGGCGGCTCAGAAGGAACGAGAAGGCGGCCTGGACTGCCTTGGTGTGCACATCACTGGCAAGGGGGTGAGAGGTGGGGGCGGGGGTGGTGGTGGGGTGAAATGATGGAGAAAGTAAAGGGGTGGAAAGCCAACGCGCACATCATTCGCAGGAAAGTGGACTCACGTGTCGGCATCTACTGTGAGCACCACCAGGGCAGGCAGAATGACTTATAAGTCGACTCATAAAGCACACTTTGAGGCGCCTCACAACTCATAAAGTGGACTCACGTGTCGGCATCTACAGTGAGCACCACCTGGGCAGGCAGAATGACTTATAAGTCGACTCATAAAGCACACTTTGAGGCGCCTCACAACTCATAAAGTGGACTCACGTGTCGGCATCTACAGTGAGCACCACCTGGGCAGGCAGAATGACTTATAAGTCGACTCATAAAGCACACTTTGAGGCGCCTCACAACTCATAAAGTGGACTCACGTGTCGGCATCTACAGTGAGCACCACCAGAGCAGGCAGAATGCGGGTGGCGATCTCAGTGGCATCGTAGTATTCCCGTGTGGCTGACAGTGCCATTATGCCTGCACAGAGGATGTGAAGGGGTTGCGGTAGATGTGAGGGGGATGCGGTGGGGTTAGGTGTGGTGGGCGATCTCAGTGGCATCGTAGTACTCTCGTGTGGCTGACAGCGCCATGATGCCTGCACAGGGGGGTGTGAATTTGGGGGGGGGGAGAGGGATGATGTGCAGCTGGGGGCATGGAGGAATCTGAGATTTTGGGGGCAGTGCGAGCTCTGGGATATCCATAAGTCAGTATGATGAAAGCGAAACATCAACAACAGTAATTTGCAGCAGATTCAGATTCCTGCGTTTTTAGCTAATGATGTCTGTTGCACCCGCAGCCATGGAAAGAGGGGGTTGTATCTGCAGCCCTGGCAGGGGGAGGTCGTACCTGCAGCTCTGGCAGAGGGAGGTCGTACCTGCAGCCTTGGAAGGGGGAGGTCGTACCTGCAGCTCTGGCAGAGGGAGGTCGTACCTGCAGCCTTGGAAGGGGGAGGTCGTACCTGCAGCCTTGGAAGGGGGAGGTCGTACCTGCCGCTCTGGCAGGGGGGAAGGCGTCCCTTAGAGCGCGAACAGTGAAGGCATTGATGAGCACTCGCTTGCGCGTCTGTGGGCGCCACAGGGAGGAAAGTGAGAGTGTATGTCAGGGGGGTGGTGGGGTAGAGAAGAGCGGGATGTGTAAAAATATATACACAACGCGTGCAGTGAAGGCATTGATGAGCACTCGCTCGCGCGTCTGTGGGCGCCACAGGGAGGAGCAGGAGTGTGGGTGCGAGAGGGGGGTGGCGAAGTGGAGAATGCCGGGGGGAAGGGAAGGGAGAGAGCGAGGAAAGTGATTTGGTGTATGGGCCAAGCTGACCACATGTGGAAGAGTCCAGGCAAACTTGTGCAGTGAGGTGATTTTTGAGCGTCCATGTGGAAGAGTCCAGGCTGACTCGTGTGGAATGCAACATATAGAGTCCAGCTAACAACATCATCAAGTTGCGTTTTGAGGCGCCTTCAAGATGTTTTTGAGAGTAACTTACAGTCGTTGAGGTGCCTGGCGATGTTGCCGAGCAGAATTGTGCTGTTGGTGCGGATGATGGGTGTCATTTCCTTTCTCTTAGGTGAGTTGCAAACTAACTCACAGCGTCATTCAGAAGGCCAAACCAAACGTTCTGGGTGCAACTCACAGCGTCGTTGAGGTGTCTGGCAATGTTGCCGAGCAGAATGGTGGTGTTGGTGCGGATGGCTGCCTCCTCGTCCACCTGGCACAAGGCCCATGAGTGGTCACAGTTGGGAGGAGGCATGGATGGAAGGACAGTTGGCGAAGGGAAGCACAGACAGTTGGGAGAAAGGGAAGCAAGGTCAGACAAAAGGAAGGGATGCAGGGAAGAGACGGGATGGACGCACAGCGAGGAAGACAGGCAGATCGATACTAAACGGAACAGCGGCAGATAATTTGTTCTTTGCAAGCGGTAGGAGGACCGGGAGCAGAAGAAGCCAAGGGCGGACCGGATGAAAGAAATGGAAGTGGTGGAAGACAGGCGGAACAGTTATAAGAAGCCGTAGAGATTGAGAGAGATGGAACGGACCTGCAGCTTTGAGAGGTGCTTGAGCAGCGACCCTCCGAGAGTGCGTTGCGAGAGCTGAGTGGGGGGGGAGGGGAGAGAGGGGAAAGGGAGAGGGGAAGGGAGGTGAGGGAGAGCGGTAGCTTGGGTGGGGAGCCAAGATCAGCTTGGGTGGAGCAAGAAGCACCTTGGGGCTATCTGTAGGGGCTAGCTACATGTTGGATGCAAGAGAGAAGTACCTTGGGGGCTAGCAGAAGCATGGACTTGAGAGTGAGCTCTCTGAGCAGCGCCGAGGTGTCAGGGAAGCCGGAGCTGAGCTGAGGTGCGGAAAGACCTGCTCCTCTGCCACGCTGGGGGCTATCTGTAGGAGATAGCTATCCACACCTTGGGCGCGTAGAGAGAAGCACATTTGGAAGTAGAATACGCACCTTGGGGGCGAGCAGCAGCATGGACTTTAGTGTGAGCTCTCTGAGCAGCGCCGAGGTGTCAGTGAAGCCAGAGCTGAGGTGCGGAAACACCTGCTCCTCTGCCACGTTGGGGGCTATCTGTGCTCCGAACGAGTCCAGATTCTGCAGTAGTGACACCCGGATGGCTCGGTCTGACGAGCCAAAGAGCTTCACAAGAGTGGGGAGAACCTGAGGGCGGATTGGGGGAAGGATGGGAGGAAAGTATTTGAGTTGAGATTTACACGTCAAAGAAATTCACGGGCCCAAGAAATTTACGCGCCAAAAAAAATCACGTGGAAAAGAAAGAAAGAAAGAAAAACGATGATAAAAACTTGGTTTTATGACTGTCAGCCGCCCTAGCTCAGTTGGTAGAGCGCAAGGCTCTTAACCTTGTGGTCGTGGGTTCGAGCCCCACGGGCGGCAGCTTTTCCTCTTGTTTTTATGTTTTTTCCTGCTTTCTTTTGTTGACTATTGTTAGATAATCGTGTGTAACGCGGATATGTACACCAACCACCTCTCCTTTTGCAACACTGTTGAAATTCTTTCGCTTGTCAGACCTCAAACACTCACTGGTCACAGAGGGCAGGTGGTGGCGCTGGTGCTGGTGCTGGTGCTGGTGCTGGTGCTGGTGCTGGTGCTGGTGCTGGTGCTGGTGCTGGTGCTGGTGCTGGTGCTGGTGCTGGTGCTGGTGCTGGTGCTGGTGCTGGTGCTGGTGCTGGTGCTGGTGCTGGTGCTGGTGCTGGTGCTGGTGCTGGTGCTGGTGCTGGTGCTGGTGCTGGTGCTGGTGCTGGTGCTGGTGCTGGTGCTGGTGCTGGTGCTGGTGCTGGTGCTGGTGCTGGTGCTGGTGCTGGTGCTGGTGCTGGTGCTGGTGCTGGTGCTGGTGCTGGTGCTGGTGCTGGTGCTGGTGCTGGTGCTGGTGCTGGTGCTGGTGCTGGTGCTGGTGCTGGTGCTGGTGCTGGTGCTGGTGCTGGTGCTGGTGCTGGTGCTGGTGCTGCTGGTGCGTCCTAGCTCGGTTTTATGATTGTCAGCCGCCCTAGCTCAGTTGGTAGAGCGCAAGGCTCTTAACCTTGTGGTCGTGGGTTCGAGCCCCACGGGCGGCGGCTTTTCCTCTCGTGTTCATGTTTTTTCCTGCTTTCTTTTGTTGACTATTGTTAGATAATCGTGTGTAACGCGGATATGAACACCAACCACCTCTCCTTTTGCAACACTGTTGAAATTCTTTCGCTCGTCAGATCTCAAACACTCACTGGTCACAGAGGGCAGGTGGTGGCGCTGGTGCTGGTGCTGCTGGTGCGTCCTAGCTCGGTTTTGTGATTGTCAGCCGCCCTAGCTCAGTTGGTAGAGCGCAAGGCTCTTAACCTTGTGATCGTGTGTTCGAGCCCCACGGGCGGCGGCTTTTTCTCTTGTGTTCACGTTTTTTCCTGCTTTCTTTGTTGACTATTGTGCAATGACTGTGTGTAATACGGATATGAACACCAACCACCTCTCCTTTTGCAACACTTCTGAAATTCTTTCGCTTGTCAGACTTCACACACTCACTGGTCACAGAGGGCAGGTGCTGGTGCTGGTGCTGCTGGTGGTGCGTCCATACACAACAAACATATTCTACCTCCACCACGGACCACCACCAACTTACCTTAGCACTAAGCCACCCGCCCAGCTTGAGCAGCGAAGTGAGGGCGGGCACCGGGGGGCGGACCCAAGCTCGAGGGCGGAGGCGAGCTGAGGGAGGACCTTGCTGAGCAGAATGGGGCGCGAGAGCTGGTCACAGGGCTGGCGGCTGTGGTGGTGGTGGTGGGTGGTGGTGGTGGTGCTGCTGCTGGTGCACGCACACACAGAAAACATGTACCACCTACCTGCACCGCACTGAACACACGCCCACCTTAGCGTTGAAATCTTCCTGGTTGAGCCACCCGCCCAGCTTCAGCAACACAGTCAGTGCAGGAGCAGGTGCAGACCCGAACTCAAGAGCAGAGGCGAGCTGGGGCAGGATCTTGTTGAGCAGGATGGGGCGCGAGAGCTGGTCACACAGGGCGGGGAGGCGGCGGAAGAATCCGTCCTTCTCGACGCTGTCCTTGAGGCTCAGCACCTCCATGAACTGCACCGTCTCCACTAGCTTGTTCTGAAAGAACTCTGTGCGGTGTGAGGGATGGGAGGGAGGGAGGGAGGAAGGAAGGTGAGCTGCCCTTGCATAGCTTGGCCCCTTGAGGCTCAGCACCTCCATGAACTGAACTGCACCATCTCCACCAGCTTGTTCTGAAAGAACTCTGGAACGTGTGGGGCAGCAGGGATAGACGGGGAGGGATGGGGTGGGATAGAGAGTGGTACGAGGAGACAGGTGCGCCGTGCTCGAACGTTGACCTAATCCAACTGTCAATTCTTGCACTCTGGCTAGATCCAACTGTAAAAATTGCACACTCACCACTATTGTCAATGAGCTTGGCGGGGTTGAGTCGCCTGGCAGGGGCAGAGCTGAGCAGGCGCTGGTAGTCCGGGAGAAGCGTCTGTGCGTGGGGAAGGAGGGGGGTGGGAAGCGGGGGGTGGGTAGCAAGGGGAGGGAATGTTGAGCAAAGTGCGGTGGATTGGCCTTTGAGTCGGCTCAAGAAGCCGCCTGGCAGAGGCGGCGCTGAGCAGACAGCGGTGTTCAGGGGAGAAGGGTCTGCGTGTGGAGAAGGAGGGGGGGTGGGGAAAGGGAAGGTTGGGGCAAGGGGGGTGACGGAAGAGGCAGATGGCCCGAAGAACTTTGAAGAGTCAGTCTGTGTGTGCGTGGAGTGGGGATGGAACGGAGTGCGTGCGTATGGGAGTTGGAGGCAAGAATGGCTGGTGGACAGGAAGGAGCAAGGGCAAAAAGAGAGGCAATCAAGGTCGCACATTATGCATGGTGCGTCACCTTGGGAATGCATGGTGCGTCACCTTGGGAATGCATGGTGCGTCACCTTGGGAATGCATGGTGCGTCACCTTGGGAATGCAGGCTGTGTTTCTGAGCTCTTCTGTGCGTGTCAGCTGGTGCCCCGAGAACACCTCCTGAATCAAGCAGCCTGCAATCATAGTAGAGGAAACGGAAGAAGAGTAAGACATAATAACAGGGGAAAAGACAGGGAAGAACAAAAAGCGGAGACAGAAGAAGGGCAGGTGGAAAGGGGAAGGGGGAGGGGAGACGATTTTAGCCACTGTTAGCTACTGAAGGAACGGAGGCGGATAGGCTTTGTGTGATAAAATACCAGCTGTGGTAGCACATATCATATCACTCACCAAGGCCCAGGAGTCGATGGCATAGGGAGGGCCCTTCCTGATGGTCGCCAAGTCGCTCTTGGCTAGTAAGGAAGCAAGGTAGATAGCCCGATTGTGGAAAACAAACAACCCGGAAAACACTCACCAAGGCCCCAGGAGTCAATGGCGTAGGGAGGGCCCTTCCTGATGGCCGCCCAGTCGCTCTTGGCGAGCTCCATTGACTTGTACTGCGCGCCCACCATCCACTCGTATGGCTGATGGTGTGTATGGGGCATGGTGGATGGTGCAGTTGATGCACATGCAGAAGGCAACGCACATGCACATGCCGCACATACATGCCAAGGAGACGGGAGGAGGAAGAGGGGAAGAGGGGAAGAGGTCGAAAGCAGGAAAAGCAAGGCTAGGGGAAAGGGACGAGCATGCAAAAGCAAGGGCAAGGAGAGAACGGAAAGAAGACCAAGGGCATGACTGTATACTGCCATGACCGATGTCCCAATGTCCCAATGCCACTAACTAATAAACACTACGAAATTCCCTCAGCAACTGTTGCATCTCTCACCAGCATGGGCCCCTCAGGGGCGTCTGCCTTGCCCCCATCGAACTCTGACAACACATCAAAGCCGTGTAACTTCCAATCCAGCGCACCGGTGGTTACCACCGACGCCATGCACACGTTGCCGTGCACCTGCAGGATTGCGAGGAAGATGGGGGTAGGTGGTGACACCGAGGAGGGAAGTCAGAAAATGCACAAGACCAGTGCAGCGATGGTTACCACTGATGCCATGCACACGTTGCCGTGCACCTGCAGAGTTGGGGGATGCATACAGATGGCATCAGGGAGGAGAAGATGAATCAGCGTGAAAAGGCAAACGCTTGGTAAGACGTCCAGACCAGACCAGGCAAACACATTGCCATTCACACATTGCACTGCACAACTTGCTTGCATGGCAGGGAGAGGATGGGTGAGGGGGAGGGGATGGATTGAGCATGGGTGATTGAAAGGGGGGGCATGAAGACATGATGGGGCAAGGGGGCTTTTTATGTATGTCTGATGAACCCACCAGCTTGCAGTCGTTGTTGAGAAAGCTGACAGCCTTGGCCACTTGCAGCAATCCCCATGCGTAGTACTCATCCCTGCTCACCAGCACAGCAGTGCCACGCACACAGCACAGCTCAGACTGGCGCCTGATCAGCACGCACTCACAAAACACACAGCAACGCCATACCTACCCTCTGCACCCGCTCCGCATACTGACCTCTGCCTTTCCTGCCCTCTTCCTCTCCCATTCCCTCCCTCCCCCTCCCTTTTCCCCGCAGTCCTCTCACCACTGCGGCCCCTTGAGCTTGAGCTCTTTAAGCCGGATGTCCAATTGCATGACAGGCTCTGTGATGATGTATATGGTGGGCTTCTGCACAAAGCCCTCCGATTCCCCCTGTAACCTCATCCCGTCCACCCCATGCCTCCCATCCCCCAACCCCATCCCTCCCCCTCAAACATATCTCCCTTACCTCTGCGGCCCCTTGAGTTTGAGCTCTTTGAGTCGCAGGTCCAGTGGCATGACGGGCTCGGTGATGATGTATATGGTCGGCTTCTGCACGCCGCCCTCCTCCTTCTCCACCTCCAGGCTGTTCAGGAACGGACAACACGTTCGGATGCCGCAGCTGGCAAGGTGAGGGTGTGGAGGAAAGGTGCGGATGGGGGAAGGGGGAGCGGAAGGGGAAGGACATAGTAATGAGGGTTCGGAAACGCTCCACCTCCAGGCTGTTCAGAAGCGACAGCACGTTCGGGTGCCGCAGCTGGCAACGAGAAAATTCGAAGGGAAGGTGCGGAAATGAGGGAAGGGGGGGGCGTGGGGAGGAAGGGAGGGTTTTCGCACGCGGGGGAAACGACAGAAGAGCATCTGGCTGCTGGTTCATAAGCTTAGAACCGCAACAACTGTAGATACATGAGCGTTGATATCTCAGATTCACGAGCCTTTTGATATCGCCGAACGCACCATTCTGAGTCGCTTGACGCAGTTTCGGGCAGGAGGAAGCCTGGCGTCTTGAGGATTCGAGCCCGTTATGGAGAAAATTGATACCGCGCTGCCGTCCTCCTGATATTACACGCAGAGCAAACGGATTCACGTCATACACAAACGTGTCACCTTATACGACATGGTATAAAGTGGCGTGCACAACATGAGAGGGAGGACATCGATATACGATCAGCGTTGAAACGATCTTCTCCTTAGTACACAGCTCCCACATCCCTTCTCACATTCTCACGCGCCTCACGATTTCACACGATCAGCCACTGATATTGTACTCAGCGACCGCTAGGCCAGCTCGGGAGTTCGCACCTGGCGGGTGCTTGTAAGAATTAAGAATAGTATTTTTAAGGCAATCAGACTTCTCAGCCCCCCAAAAAACGGCCCTAAGAAAATCAGCACAATTAAGTAGCAGGACATCGCACCTTGCAGGTGCCCTTTTGGTGCGTCCACGGGCCCCATGCCGACGGATAAGCTTCGCCGATGTTATACGGAAACTCCTTCGCCCCTCCACCAGTCCCGAGGACCGATCGCAGGAACTGCATGGCCGCTGGCCTGACTATCGATGGCTACGTGAGGGTGATAACTGAGAGAGAATCACGAATGACAATAACGAGTATGAAAGTTTGAACTTTCTCTTGCGTAGTGGCTATCGGAACTGCGACACCCGAGGTTCAAGTAGCCTACACGCTATGGATTTCTTTAGCCGTCTAAATGAATATATTTCCCAAAATATTCGGGTAGGCTTCCAGCGAGAAGTTGGTGAAGTTAGGCGTGAGTGCGGTCTTCGTAACGCAGTTTCAGTTAGAGGGAAGAATGGCGTTGTGATTGGCCGGAATGAATGCTGTGTATGTTAAAACGGTGGGACGACGCGACTACAGCATCGTCTGACGATGTCTGCGAAATGGAGTCAGAAATGTGAGCCGTTCATAATAAACTGACCACTTTTTGTGGTAGACTGTAGCAATCTATGTGGGTGTTGCGAGCACGCAGCACTGCAGCATCTGCAAGTGAGACCAAACCAACACTGTTCCTTGGAGTCGCCACTAACACATAAGTCTGCTTTGCTTACGACTCAACGAAGCCGCTAATCAACGAAGTAGCGCAGTTAAAATTTAATAAGCTACGAACACGAAGCAAGAAAGACGCTGTAATGGGAGGACTGCAGGGACGTTGAAACAGATCCAGGAACCTCTCGCCTGCACAACTTAGGATTTGCAACAGAAACAACCAGTAATGAAATGCGCACACTCTGCGGAACACTGCGGAGTGCTGCTGGAGGGAGGTGAGGTGAGAGTCGAGGAGACCGGGGGGGGGGTGCGGGGGAACGTGAGTGAGCGCATGATCAGGGAAGAGGCGGAGGCAACCTTGAAGTTGTGGCTGCAAATTTGGCGGGAAATTTTGGGAGTGTCGCGCAAGTTCCAGCCCGCGACCTACCAACAGACTTGTCAGTTGCCGTTGGGCCAAGAGGACGAAACGGCAAGGGGAAGGCTCACGATTGATACACCGTCTCACCATTGCACCACGATATGTACACTAGGTTATGTAAAAACCAGCAACATATTCTCCAGTGACATAATTCGGTTATGTAACAAACGAACTAAGCCTTGCTTCTGCATCAGCGATTTCTTCCCTGTGCTTTTCCAATTCCTGCGCACAGAGGTTTGCCAACTGATCAGCGACCGGCGGGATGCCCGGGTTACGCACCTCATTATAAACGTGAGCGTTCCTTTGAATCAGCTTCATGTCGCTCCAGAAGGCATCCCGCGACATATACACGCCTTGCCGGTTTTTCTTAGACATGGTCGAAAGATCCATGGGATGCTTGATGACTGTATGGTAGTCTGGAGCCTTCCTTCTTCGTGACTGGCTTTTGGAAAATGTAGGAGATATCCGCATGGAGCCGCAGAAACGCAAGCACATTATCAAAGATGTTCCGAAGAGAATCTTTGGCCTGCAAGCAAACAGAGATGAGCAAAAAGGGACTGAGCAAGACCGCCAACAAAGAGCAGAGCGGCACACAATAAACAAACAAAGCCACTCATCGTCATATCCTATCTGCAAAAGAAGCCAAAATAGTGAAACTGGTTTCAGTTAGGCTAGGCTCCTCTGGAACACTCACCAGAACACCCCCTTCAGGCAGCTTCACACGCTTCAGAGCCGGCCCTCCTCCCCTCCCCCCCTCGCTGCGCCCACCACCACTGTCCCAAGCACCAGGAGTAGCGCTGCGCTTCGCTCCCTCCCCCGCCACCCCCTTTGAGCGAGGTCCCTTAAGAGCTTGAGAACTGCGCCGTTTCCCTCCATGCACCCCCCCGTGTCTCCTCTCCTCTTCCTGCCAATCCCTGTCTCTCTCCTCTCTCACCTCTCTCTCCTCTCGGCCCTTCCCTCGTGGCTCTTCAATACCTACAGAACGAGATCTTTCTCTTTCCTCCCTCCTCTCCCTCTCCTCCCTCCTCTCCCTCTCCTCCCTCCTCTCCTTCTCCTTCCTCTCCTTCTCTCGCCTCCGCTCCCTCTCCTCTTTCCCCTCCCTCTCTTCTCTTCCCTCCCTCGTCTCTTTCCGGTCCCTATCTTCCCTTCCCCTCCACTCATCTCTCTCCCCGAGTGCATCTCCTTTTCTCCTCTTCTCCTCGCCCTTGTCCTTCTCGCGTCCCCACTCACGATCCTGCTTCCTCTCCTGCCCCTTTTCCTCCCATCCATCCCTATCCACCTCATTCCCCCCTCTCCGCACCCCAGTATCCCTCTCCCTTTCCCTTGCTCGTTCCCCTCCCCTATCCCTCTCACTATCTTTCCTCTCAAGCTTTAGCTTCAATATCCTTCCTTCTCCTTTCTCCTTCCCTATCTCCCTATCCCTCTCCCTTTCCCTTGCTCCTTCCCAATCCCTCTCCTTGTGCCTTACTCTCTCCCTATCCTTGTCTTCATAATGCCTGCTCTCTTTTACCCTATCCTTCCTCCTCTCCCTCTCCTCCCCTTTTCTCTCGTGCACCTTACCCTCTCCTTCCTCACTCCTCCCCCTCTCCCAACCCTCTTTCCCAAACCACCCTTCACCATGCCTGTCCTTACCAGCAGCTTTACCGAGCCTGTCTACCTGAACCTGGTGATGCCGAGCCTCCTCGCTCCCTCTCCGAAGCAGCAAGCCTCCTGGCAGCAGGGTGAGGTTCGGCATAACTGCCAATAGCTTCACTCTCCAGCCCCTTCTCCCTTTTCTTCTCCTTCTCCCTCTCATGCTCTTCCCTCCATTCCCTCCTCTTCTCGCCCTTCCTCTCACTCCCCTGCCTTCTCTCCCATTCTTCATTCCTCACACTACCTTTCACCTCTTCCATCTCTCCTTCCTCTTCGAATGAATCTAACCCACCCCTTGCTGCCTTCTTGAATCGCTGCCGCATCTCATCACCTCTCCTGCCCTGCTTCTCTGCCGCTGCCTCTGCCTCCTCTTGGTGCTGCTCCTGTCGCCCCCTCTCCTCCTTCTCATCCGCAGTCCTCTCCCCACGTGCGCTCCTCTCCTCTCTCCTCAGCTTCTTCGGCTTATGGTATCCTTCCTCCACGCTCTCTTCCTGCCACTCCCTCTCCCCCTCCCCCTCGTTCCTCCTCCTTTTCTGAAACTCCCCACTTTTCTTCCCAACACTCCTCTCCTCCTCACCCTGTCTTCCGCTCTTCCTCCCACCTTCATCATCCTCCCCTGCTCCTACTGCCCCTCCCCCCTCTTGCCCACCATCCCCCTCGTGCCTCTCCAACCCTCTGTTCACCCCACCCCTCTCTCTCCTCTTCCGCTTCCTCTTCTTCTCCTCCTTCCTCCCCCATCCCTCCAAATGCCCCTCCTCCTCCTCTCCCTCACCACCAACCTCCCCCTCCTCATCTCCTCCCTTGTCCCCCTCTCCTTGCCACCCCTCACCCCTGATATCGCCATGCATCCCTGCCAAATCCTCCACCCCACGCCCTCTCCCTTTTCCTCTATGCCAATCCTCCCCATCCCCCACATTCCCTTGCGCCTCGGAACCTCCTTTGCCTCCCAGTTTGATCTTCACACTAGGGAATTTCACCTTCAGAGAAACTTTCTTCCCCATTCCCCTCTTCCTCCCCTTCTCACTCCCCCCCTTCTCACTCCCCTCCCTCTCGCCCACACCTCCTCCCGTGATCCTCTCGATAGTGTTGTCCGCAAGCTGAAGCTGCATGGAAGCTTCGTGAGCAGAGGGAGAATCTCCCCCTGGGGACTCGTGTCGTGTCTTGGAGCGAGGGCGGTGGGGGGATGTCACACCATCAGCACTGCCATCCCCACTGCCATCCCCAGGACCAGCACCCATACCATGACCATACCCATCACCACCAACACCATAATCGCCACCAATGCCACCATCGCCATCATCACCATCACCATAATCCACATCAACAGCATCATCTGCATTGCCAGCACCAACAGCACCATAACCATCAGCATCAGCATCAGCGTCAACACCGCCGGCAATAGCTTCTGCATCAGCAGGAACTTCATCATCCAAAGCAGAGTGAGAACTTTTCTTTCCCTCGTTCTTCTCCTCCTTCTCCTTCTTCCCCTTCTTCCCCTTCTTCTCCTTCCGTTCCTTTTTCTCTTTACCCTTCTTACCAACACCAGCATCACCATCACCACCAGCAGCACCACCAGCAGCAGCACCAGCACCATAACTGGCTTGGCTAGGCTGTGTGGCTGTCAGATCAACTTCAAATCCATCCTCCCCATCCCTAGCAGCAGCAGCAGGACCACCACCACCATCACCATCGCCTGCACCCTCACCAACACCACCGGCACCAGCAGAACCAACCTTCCCACCACCGCCTCCCACCCCACTCCACCCCCCAGCACCACTCACTCCTCCACCCGACCCCTCAGCTCCCCCTTTTCCCCCAGCCTTCCCCAGCAGCAGCTTCGACTTGATTTTAATTTTCGTCCCTTTCCTCTCTAGCAACCCCTCTGCCAGCGCCCCATCCCTGTGAATCTGATTTCCCTCCTCATCCTCCATATAGAGCGGACACTTTGCGCGGTTAGTGCGCATGTGACCCTCCTGCCCGCACGCCCCACACACCACTGACGCCCTCTGTCCTTTCTTTGGCCCACTGCCATCCTTCTTCCCAGCAGCTTCCTTCTTGGTGGGAGTGGGGGTCCCTTTAGAGGGGGTTCCCTTGGCGGGGGTTTCTGCCTTGGCTCCTGCCTGCCCTCCCCTCTTCCGCTTCTTTCCTGCCCCCTCGCCCTCACCCCCCTGCACAGTAACAACAGAGAGAATGAGTGAACAGTGTACCTCAGACACGATTCTCAGGGAGTCGCAGTCGTGAGCAACGAGTACCGAGAGCAATTTTTGAGTTGACTCAAAAATCGACTCACTACACGCATGATTCTCAGGGAGTCGCAGTCGTGAGCAATGAGTACCGAGAGCAATGAGTACCGAGAGCAATGAGTACCGAGAGCAATGAGTGAACAGTGTACCGAGCACGGATTCGATCAAACAGGTGAGTAAAGTGGGGGCGGAGAGCTGGAGGGAAAGAAAGGTAGGAAGGGATGGGACATCGGGAACAAAGAAGCGGGGTGGGAGAGGGAAGGAAGGACAGAGGGAAGGACAGTGACTCAAAGGAAGCCTGTACGTTATACCGTATCGTGCTGTATCACATGCTTTATTCAATGAAAGACCATTCGAAAAGGTAGGGCTCAAAGGCAGCGACAGGAGCTTACCTTATCTGGGGCAGCCTTTTTCGAAGGTGTGGCAGGTGGTTGGGAGGGAGTGCCGGGCACAGCAGCTTTGCTTGCTTCGTCTGCACCTGCTTGGCCCTTCTCTGCCCCTCCTCCCTGCTGGTGCTGCTGCCCCTCCTGCTGCCCCGCCTGCTGCTCTGCCTGCTGCTCTGCCTGCTGCCCTCCCTGCCCCCCTGCCGCGCCCCTCTGTGCTGCCAGGGCTGATCGCTTGGCCATCTCAGCCTCGATCTGGGGGGGGAGGGGAGAGAGGGGAGAGAAGGGGGTGGAAGGAAGAAATTACCTTTGAGTCACCTCAAAGTTGCCTCTCTGTGCTGCCAGGGCTGATCGCTTGGCCATCTCAGCCTCGATCTGGGGGGGGTGGCGAGGAGAGAGAGGGGGGGCGGGAGGGGAGAGAGGGGAGAGAAGGGGGTGGAAGGAAGAAATGACCTTTGAGTCATCTCAAAGTTGCCTCTCTGTGCTGCCAGGGCTGATTGCTTGGCCATCTCAGCCTCGATCTGGGGGGGGTGGCGAGGAGAGAGAGGGGGGGGCGGGAGGGGAGAGAGGGGAGAGAAGGGGGTGGAAGGAAGAAATGACCTTTGAGTCACCTCAAAGTTGCCTCTCTGTGCTGCCAGGGTTGATCGCTTGGCCATCTCAGCCTCGATCTGGGGGGGGTGGCGAGGAGAGAGAGGGGGGGCGGGAGGGGAGAGAGGGGAGAGAAGGGGGTGGAAGGAAGAAATGACCTTTGAGTCACCTCAAAGTTGCCTCTCTGTGCTGCCAGGGTTGATCGCTTGGCCATCTCAGCCTCGATCTGGGAGGGGAGGGGAGAGAGGGGCGGAGGGGGAGGGGAGAGAGGGAGGGAGGGAGGGGAGAGAGGGAGAGTGGGTAGGGAAGGAAGAAATGACCTTTGAGTCGATTCAGAAGTTGCTTGTCTGGCCCTTGGGTTCACAGTCTGCCGTGCCTGCCATGCCTTCAGATGCACCCCACTGCCACTGCCTGCCACTCACGCACGCATGCACAACCTGCCACTACCTGCCACTACCTGCCACTACCTGCCACTACCTGCCACTACCTGCCACTACCTGCCACTACCTGCCACTACCTGCCACTACCTGCCACTACCTGCCACTACCTGCCACTACCTGCCACTACCTGCCACTACCTGCCACTACCTGCCACTACCTGCCACTACCTGCCACTACCTGCCACTACCTGCCACTACCTGCCACTACCTGCCACTACCTGCCACTGCAGCTCCGTGATGATGATCTCTTTGACCAACACTGTGCGATCCAGCTATCAGTGGTAAATTGATGGTTACACTATCAGTGGTTACACACGCTCACTGCCTGCCATGCCATGCACGCTTTGCATATACTGCCTGCCTGCCATGCCATGCACGCACTTGCATACTGCCTGCCTGCCATGCCATGCACGCACTTGCATACTGCCTGCCTGCCATGCCATGCACGCACTTGCATACTGCCTGCCTGCCATGCCATGCACGCACTTGCATACTGCCTGCCTGCCATGCCATGCACGCACTTGCATACTGCCTGCCTGCCATGCCATGCACGCACTTGCATACTGCCTGCCTGCCACATACATGCCTGCAGTGGGTCTGTCTGTGATGGTGACCTCCTAGACCACCAACGTGCCGTCGGGCTGCCTGTGGTGAGGAAAGCTTGACACGTGCATAGGAACACCACAGGATGCACCCACATACCAGCTGTGGGTCCGTGATGATGATCTCTTTGACCACCACCGTGCCATCGGGCGGCCTGTGCTGAACTGATGGTCATACACACACATGCACACACATGCACACACATGCACACACATGCACACACATGCACACACATGCACACACATGCACACACATGCACACACATGCACACACATGCACACGCAACACACATGCAGACACATGCACACGCATGCACACGCATGCACACACATGCACACACATGCACACACATGCACACACATGCACACGCATGCACACACATGCACACGCATGCACACGCATGCACACACATGCACACGCACGCACACTCTAGAATCCACATACCAGCTGTGGGTCCGTGATGATGATCTCTTTGAACACAAACGTGCCATCGGGAAGCCGCGATTTGATCTTCTTCTTCAGCCGTTTCACCACCACCCGCTTCTTCCCCTCCGCACCCACCGCTGCCCCTCCGACCCCCTCCGCGCCTCCTACTGCTGACGCTGCTGCAACTTTCCCAGCCTCTTGGTCCTGAACGTGAGGGAGGAGGGACGAGAATAGGGAGATGGGAGGAGAGGGGTGGAGGGGGGAGAGACGGGAGGAGAAGGGAGGCACGGAGATGAGAGGGGAGGAGAAGGGAGGCACGGAGATGAGAGGGGGGGAGTGAGGAGGAGGAAGCGGATTGCGAAGAATTTGAGGACAATAAACCGATTCATATGCAAGGATGCAAGGGAGGGGGGGGAAGAGATGGGAGGTGGCAAGGAGGCAAATACAGCCCAAGGAAAACCAAGGAACGAGCCAAGCCAAGGACGCACCACCATTCCTCCTGCTCCTGCCTCGCCGTGCTTGGCAGCTGCAGCGCTGCTCTTCTCCCCTCCATCCTCCTTCTTCTCCTTCTCCTTCTCTTTCTCCTTGCTCTTCTCCTTCTCCTTCTTCTTATCCTTCTTCTTCTTGCTGTTCTCCTTGGGATCATCATCTGCACGCCACCATGCATCCATGCATCCATGCACACAAACACGCACATGCACGCGCCCGCACCGCCCCGCCCGCCCCCGCGCGCGCCCGTCCCCATCCCCGTTCCCTCCCCACGCATCCCCCCCCACACCCCCACACGCACCCCCCCCCCTCCCCCCCCCACACACACACCCACACACACACAGGATGCATGCACAAGCACACAAATGTCATCCACGCACACAAGCAGCGACAGATCAATCCGAAAGAGCACAAAGCGTGGAGGCAAGCCAGGCCTCCACGATCCTCCCCTCAAGCAAGCCATGCTGCAGCGATCAAACCACTGGTCATCCGTTCTTGCGAAAGATCCTTGAGACTTTAGAATCTTAAGCAATTCCCTACACTGAGCAACCCACTGTTGATCCAGAGCCAGGCCAGGGGCATTCAAGATCCTCTCCTCAAGCAACCATCTGTGAGCACCGTCCCTCACCCACAGACACCACCCATCACCGCATAAAACCATTCCTGACCAAGGCGCGCGGGCAGACCAAGGCGCGCACGCGCGGACCAAGGCGCGCGCCTGGACCAAGGCGAGCCCCTGGATTAAGGTTCATCCCGGGATTAAGGTTCACCCCCGGATTAGGACGCGGCACCTGTTTTCATTTTACAAGGATCGCTGGCCTCACATTGATCCTGGCATATCGATCGGCACACCGATGTGCCCACACTGCAAATTTGCAGTGGGGTAGACACATCGAGCTATAGGTGCCAGGATCGAAATTGCAGGCTCGGGCAGGTTGGAGCTGCCATTACACTTAAACGCGCAGCCAATCAGGGCAGAGCGTGGATGGTCGTCCAGCAATTCCATTCGCAGCGACTCAAGCACATCGATCCCCTCCCACGATCAATCCTGGCAAAATGAAAACAGGTGCCGCGTCCTTAAGGTTCACCCCGGATGAAGGTTCACCCCGGATGAAGGTTCACCCCCGGATTAAGGATCACCCCCGGATGAAAATTCACCCCCGGATGAAGGTTCACCCCCGGATGAAAATTCACCTCCGGATGAAGGTTCAACCCCGGATGAAGGTTCACCCGCGGATGAAGGTTCACCCCCGGATGAAGGTTCACCACCAGATGAAGGTTCACCCCCGGATGAAGGTTCACCCGCGGATGAAGGTTCACCCCCGGATGAAGGTTCACCACCGGATGAAGGTTCACCCCCGGATGAAGGTTCACCCCCGGATGAAGGTTCACCCCCGGATGAAGGTTCGCCCCCGGATGAAGGTTCGCCCCCAGATGAAGGTTCGCCCCCGGATGAAGGTTCGCCCCCGGATGAAGGTTCACCCCCGGATGAAGGTTCACCCCCGGATGAAGGTTCACCCCCGGAGGAAGGTTCACCCCGGAGGAAGGTTCACCCCCGGAGGAAGGTTCACTCCTGGATGAAGGTTCACCCCCGGATGAAGGTTCACCCCCGGATGAAGGTTCACCCCCGGATGAAGGTTCACCCCCGGATGAAGGTTCACCCCCGGATGAAAATTCACCTCCGGATGAAGGTTCAACCCCGGATGAAGGTTCACCCGCGGATGAAGGTTCACCCCCGGATGAAGGTTCACCACCGGATTAAGGTTCACCCCCGGATGAAGGTTCACCCCCGGATGAAGGTTCACCCCCGGATGAAGGTTCACCCGCGGATGAAGGTTCACCCCCGGATGAAGGTTCACCACCGGATGAAGGTTCACCCCCGGATGAAGGTTCACCCCCGGATGAAGGTTCACCCCCGGATGAAGGTTCGCCCCCGGATGAAGGTTCGCCCCCGGATGAAGGTTCGCCCCCGGATGAAGGTTCGCCCCCGGATGAAGGTTCGCCCCCGGATGAAGGTTCACCCCCGGATGAAGGTTCACCCCCGGATGAAGGTTCACCCCCGGATGAAAATTCACCTCCAGATGAAGGTTCAACCCCGGATGAAGGTTCACCCGGATGAAGGTTCACCCCCGGATGAAGGTTCACCCCCGGATGAAGGTTCGCCCCCGGATGAAGGTTCGCCCCCGGATGAAGGTTCGCCCCCGGATGAAGGTTCGCCCCCGGATGAAGGTTCACCCCCGGATGAAGGTTCACCCCCGGAGGAAGGTTCACCCCCGGAGGAAGGTTCACCCCGGATGAAGGTTCACCCCCGGATGAAGGTTCACTCCTGGATGAAGGTTCACCCCCGGATGAAGGTTCACCCCCGGATGAAGGTTCACCCCCGGATGAAGGTTCACCCCCGGATGAAGGTTCACCCCCGGATGAAGGTTCGCCCCCGGATGAAGGTTCACCCCCGGAAAAAGGTTCACCCCCGGATTAAGGTTCACCCCCAAATTAAGGCGCTGCGCGTGGACCAAGGCGCGCGCGTGGACCAAGGCGCTCGCGTGGACCAAGGCGCGGGCGTGGACCAAGGCGCTCGCCTGGACCAAGTCGCCACCACTTTGCGCCCCCACTAAGCGCCCCACTTAGCTCCCCCACTTAGCTCCCCCACTTAGCGCCCCCACTTAGCACCCCCACTTAGCACCCCCACTAAGCGCCTCCCCTTAGTACCCCCACTTAGCGTCCCCCAACCTTCCAGCAGTATGCGCGTCGTCACCGCGTACAACCATTCCCAACCCACCTTCAAGCAGCATGCGCCTGAGGGCAGCAGCCTCCGCCTCCTCATCCTCCAGCTCCTTCTCCCGTTGCACCTCCTGAGACGATTTTTGAGGCGCCCACTGTTGAAATGCACCACACATCAGCCCTCCCACAGACACCACCCATCACCCACAGCCACCACGCATCACCACATACAGCCATTCCCAACCTACCTTCCAGCAGCATGCGCCTGAGGGCAGCAGCCTCCGCCTCCTCATCCTCAAGCTCCTCCTCTCGCTGCACCTCCCACGCCCTCCTCCTCCTCATCCCCCCCACGCCGCCTCCCCTTGCCCCACCACCCTCCCTCTCCTCCTCCCCGCCCTCCTCAGCCTCCAGAAGATTCTCCAAGTCCCCCGCAAACGAGTCCAAGTCCCCCAACAGCTCTTCCTCTTCCTCCTCCTCCCCTTCCGCCAGGGCAGACAAGCTCCTGACCTGCTTCTCCCACACCTCCTGGCACTTGCTGCGCGTCTGCAGCTGCAGCTGCGAAAACGACATGCGTTGCCCGCGCGCAAATTTATTCAGCGCAGCGACGGAATCACCACTCTTCCCTGCAGCAGCGGCCGCTTGCTCCGAAGACAGCTTTCTCACCAACGCTATCCTGTGCCACCGCCCCATCTTCTGGATCTGCTCGTCTGCCACTCCCAGTTTCAGCAGCACCTCCCGAGCCGCCTCCATCCCGAGCCTTCGCAGGTCCGCGTCCGTGCCTGTCACCGCCGCCCCGCCCCGAGCCTGCGCCGCGCGCTTTTCCACCACCTTGATCTTCTCAGCTCCTGGCTGCTTGTGCTGGATTTTGAGAAAGGAAAACGCCAGGCCCCGCCCGGAAGGGTCCCCAGCTCCACTTATCTCCAGCTTCTCTAACCCCCCTTTCCCGTGGGTCATACTCGATACATAGTTGTGGGATAAATTCCAGGGGGTCAGCAGTAACTCCCTCTCTATAAGAAGACTCGCTGCCATCTTAATCGGGTTGTCTGGGAGGAGCTGGGCGATGGCGGTGCTGAGAGGCGGCGACGCGTTGGTGAGGTGGCGGATTCCTATTCGTCGAAGGTGGTGCAGGCCTGCCAGCATGCTTTCATGGCAACACACCAAGTCTGGAGTTACCATTCTCCTCAGCTCCTCCTCGGAAGGAACCCGGAAGTTTCTCCTCATCACCCACCACATTTCCCCGCCCTCCAGCCGCTGCAGCTCCGCACACGTTTTAAGCCGCTTCTTTATAAGCCCCTCGGTGAGCGTGGGGAACTGCGCGGCAATATCATCCGCCCTTACTTTAGGCGCGTTCACCACTGCCCGCCGCCCCCCCTTCTTCCCACCCTTCCCTTGCGCCGCTCCCTTCCCACCGCCGCTCCCGCCGCCGTCTTTATCCTTGTCATAATCACGAAACGTCCGACAGACTTCAACCATAAGGCGGTTGCTACTATGGAGTACGGCAGCTTTAGAGATCGGATTCATAACTTCCATATGCGGCTCCTGTTGCCCCACCACTTGCATGCCATCTATCCTCCTTATAGAAAGCTTCCCTTTCGGCGACCGGACAAGCAGGTAGTCCGTATGCGGCACATGCTGCTGAAACACCGGGGCTCGGAACAGGTTCGTCTCGAGGCTGGACTGGCTCGTGCCGGGCCTGACGTCGCCCAGGAACGGGGACTCCTCGTCCGGTTCGAGCGGCATCACCGAGCCGGAGAAAGGGACGTCCCGGATCGCAGCGGCGCCGGAATCGACGGACGAGATCTTGCGGTAGTAGGTGGCGAGCCCGGGCGCCCATGCCCACGTTACTCAGGAGTAACGGGCGCTCCTCACAGTACCTGCGGGTGGGAGGGGGAAGGGCGGGAGAGGGGGGGGGGAGAGGGGGGGAAAGAAGAAGGAGGAGGGAAAGGGGCGGGGAGGAGAGGGGGGGGGATAGGTGGAGGGAGAGAGAAGAAAGTGGGGGGAGGGGAAAGGAAGAGAAAGGCGGACGAAATAGTCCTATCCCACTCACCACCATTCACCCCTCCCAACACCCTCCAAATCCTCCAAATCCTCCCAAAACCCCTCAAATCCCCCCAAGTTCCCCCCCATTCCCTTCCCCCCCCCACTCACTCCATGAGCACCACGTGGCCATCCTTCACCGACAGATCCGCCTTCTTCCGAAACGCCCCAGGGGGACGCTTGGGCTTGCTGTCGCCGGGGAGCTTCAGGTGCGCTCGCCCCCAGGGGTGCAGGCGCGGGCGCACGACGTGGATGATGGCGTTGCTCCGCACGCCCTGCTCTCCCAGCGGCCTGCCTGCTGTGACCTCCTGGTTGTTTGAGAAGAAACGTACCGGCTCACTCTCCTTCATGTCTGGGCATGGAAATAGTAACGGGAAGAGTATGGAGAGGGAAACGGAGGGAAGAGAGGGACAGCAGGGGTGAGGACAGGAAAGGGGGTGTCTCTATGTGTGCTCGCCTTGCCCTGGGCATGCTCGCCCCCAGGGGTGCAGGCGCGGGCGCACCACGTGAATGATGGCGTTGCTTCGCACTCCCTGCTCGCCCAGAGGCCTGCCTGCTGTGACCTCCTGGTTGTTTGAGAAGAAGCGTACTGGTTCGCTCTCCTTCATGTCTGCACAGAGGAAAAAAGGGGGGACACAGGAGCTGCTTCAGGTGCGCTCGCCCCCAGGGGTGCAGACGCGGGTGCACGACGTGAATGATGGCGTTGCTTCGCACTCCCTGCTCGCCCAGCAGCCTGCCTGCTGTAACCTCCTGGTTGTTTGAGTTGAAGCGTACCGGCTCACTCTCCTTCATGTCTGGGCGTACGGGGAAAGGAGGAAAACACAAGGGGGGCAGAAAGGAGGGGTGGGAAAGCAGGGGTGGGAGCAGAAAGGGGCTGTTTGTGTGTGCTCGCCCAGCGGCTTGCCTGCTGTGACCTCCTGGTTGTTTGAGAAGAAGCGTACCGGCTCGTTCTCCTTCATGTCTGTCCATAGGAATAGTAAGGGGAAGAGTATGGAGAGGGAAAGGAGGAGAGAGATGAGAGACAGCAGGGTTCGGGGCAGGCAGGGAAGGGGGTGTCTCTGTGTGCTCGGCTTGCCCTGTGCACACTCGCCCACTGGCCTTCTTGCAATTTGCAACAGCAACAGCAACACATGACCTGTGCAGCAAGGACATACCCCCCTGTTCCACTCCACCCACCCACCTCCCAGCTTCTTGGCCGTTTTGGCTCGCGGTGCCCCCAACATCACCCCAGCGCCTACATGGAGCTTCACAGCCTTGCTGCCCAGTGTCCTCACGAGCACCCACAGGCTGCCCTACCACATACCTCCCAATTTCTTGGCGGTCTTGGCTCGCAGAGCACCCAGCATCTCCCCCGCGCCCACGTGCAGCTTCACAGCCTTGCTGCCCAGCGTCATCACAGCCTTGCCGTCATAGCACACACATACCTCCCTCCCAGTCTCACATGTCTCCCACCTTCAACACACGCACCTCCCAGTTTCTTGGCTGTCTTGGCCCGGAGTGCACCCAGCATCTCCCCCGCGCCCACGTGCAGCTTCACAGCCTTGCTGCCCAGAGTCCGCACGATCACGCGCAGGCTGCCCTCCTGCCCCTCTACACGCCCCTGCGCCCTTGCTGCTGCCTCGCTCTGGTGCGCAAACCACAGCGCCTGTGGACGGTGGAAGCGCGATAGGTCCTTGCTGGAGGAGGGAGGAGGGGGGAGTATTGGGAACGGGGGGGGTTGGCAGAGTAGTGAGACATCTTAAAAGCCGCCTCGCTCTGGTGCGCAAACCACATCGCCTTTGGACGGTGGAAGCGCGATAGGTCCTTGCTGGAAAGGGGGGAGATAGGGGCAAAGAGACAGGGCGATGGGGAGGAATGGGGGAACGGATGGGGAGGGGGTCAAAGAGGTTGCGAAGAGGAAAGGGGGGGAGAACTGGGGGGTTTTCAAGTTTCCCTCTCCTCACGATCACGCGCAGGCTGCCCTCCTGCCCGTCCACCCGCCCCTGTGCCCTTGCCGCCGCCTCACTCTGGTGCGCAAACCACAGCGCCTATGGCCGGTGGAAGTGCGATAGGTTTTTGCTGGAGGAGGGAGGAGGGGGGAGTATTGGGAACGGGGGGGGTTGGAAGAGCAGTGAGACATCTTAAAAGCAGCCTCGCTCTGGTGCGCAAGCCACAGTGCCTGCGGGCGGTGGGAGCGAGACAGGTCCTTGCTGGAGTGACGGGTGGAGGGGGAACAGACAGGGGAGTTGGGGAAGGATGGGGGGTGATGGGGGAACAGACAGGGGAGGGTAGGAGGGTACAATTTCCTTATAACCCCTAGGAGGGTACGATTTCCTTGAACAATCCCACACTCACGCGCTCAGTCCTGGCTTCATCGTCTGAAGCCGGATGGCCGACAGCAAGTGGTACCCCTTCAGATTCACAATCGACCACTCAATCAGCAGTTGGAGCACTGCACTCAACCCCCCAGTCCCGCACTTACTTGCTCAGTCGTGGCTTCATGGTCTGCAGTCTAATAGCCGGTAGCGAGTGGTACACCTTCACACTCGTGCTCGCGCGCTTCTTCCCGTGCGCCTTCCCTCCACCCCCGGCCCCGCCCACCGCCCCCACGCCCGCCTTGCTGCTCTGGTACAGATGGTCACGCGAGAAATCCACCGACCACGCTGCTGCCTCTGCCAGAAACTCGGGAGGCAGCCACCCCGCTGCTGCGTCCCCTGGGAGTGGGCGGTGTGCTGATGGGAGCGTGGAGGAAAGGGAGGTTGGTGGAGGGACGATGGAGCTGCTGGGTTCAGACGCGGTTGCTCCTGCTGCTGCTGCTGCTGCTGCTGCTGCTGCTGCTCCTGCTGCTGCTGCGGCGGTGGTGGTGGCAGGGGTGGCAGCGGCGGCTGCTGTTTCGCCGACAGTTACGGGTGCTGACGTTGGGAGCGTCAGCATCTGCTGCTGCTGATGTGGCACGACGAGCGGCTGAGCATGGCACAATCATAGCCAACGCATGGTCGATCAAAGAAATCGTCCGTCCCAGCACCACCTGCCACATCCTCTCCACATGCCTCCACCCTCCTTGCAACCTCCTCCATGCCGCTCGCCCCACCCGCACCTGCAACTACACCACCTGGCCCTGCACCTGCCCCAGAAACACCTGCACTAGATGCACCTGCCTCAGTCACACCCACCAGCGATACCCTCCCCAGCAAAGAACTCCCCACCCCAGTACCTTCCCTCCAAGTGACTTCTCCCACCGGTCCCACCAGCTGGAAGGTCATGCGGCGATCGCTGAGGTCAAAGATTATGCGCGGAGGAGCGGGGCGAGATAGGAGAGAAGGGCGGGCCAAGGGAACATCCACGGTGGACGGTGCCAGTTTCGTTGGCTTGTGCACCTTTATGCGCCTTGAAGCCCGTGGAAACACCTGTGAGAAGGTCAGCAGAACAGGAGCGTCTGTAGTGACACTTCCCTCTCTCCCTTCCCTCATGCCACCCTTCCTCTTCCCCTCCCTCTCCTCCTTACCCGCCTCCTTCCTCTCCTCGCCCTCGTCCTCCTCATCTTCATCACCCCACAGCACCGCATCCAACCATGCGCCCGAGTCCAGCTCTGTGTTTCTAGGCACGGCTGCAGTCCGCAGCACCTCTCTCACTCGCCTCCTCACTGCCGCCTTGGCTGGATCCTCTTCTTCTTCCTCTTCATCCCCCTCCTCTCCCTCTGCCTCGTGCTCACGCCCATACTCATCCCCAGGCCTCTCATCAAGCTTACCAGCAGCACCATCGCCCCTACCATCACCTTCCGCATCACCAGACATACCCCCTGCCCCCTCCCCACCTGCACCAGCACCCCTCCCTCCCTCTCCCTTCCCAACCCCGTCTCCTCCCTCCTCTCCCACCTTCCTTCCCCTAGCCTTGGCCCTAGCTTCGGCCCGAGCCTGGCACTCGAGCCGGAGCAGCAGCGGGTGGATTTCCCGAGCCTCTCCATCCTCCTCCCAGCCTCTGAACGCCCTGGGCTTGGGCCAAGACGCACCTATGGGCTCAAGAACCACCCCATCATCATACACCAGCACATCCCCATACTGCCCCACCAGCTCTGCTGGCGGCTGCTGCTTTCGTGCCGCCACCAGCACACCTCCCTTTTTCCCTCCACCCTTAGCTGCTCTTTTCACCCTTCTCTTCACCTGAGCCCCCTGTGCCACCATCCTCCCATTCTAGATCCTCGTCTGATTCCTCCCCGCCAGAAATATCAAGCCTCTCAATAGTCCCTTCCTCCTTGCCGCCTTGCTCTGCTCCAATACCACCCTCTCTCGTGCCATCCATCTTCACTTTATCCGTCTCCATGTGCCTTTCACTTCCCATCTTCCCCTCCACATCCCCGTTTTCCCTCTCACCACCTTCCTCCCTCCTCCCCTTCCGCTCCTCCTCTTCCTCCTCGTCCTCCTCCTCTTCCTCTCCTTCCCTCTCCCCATGCCCCGTCACCCCCACTCCACCTCTCTCCCGTCTCTCACCCTCACCCTCGCCCTCCCAGCTCTCGGCGCGTTCAGGGCTGCCCCACACGATCTGGTCCTCCCAGTCGCTCTGCATGAGAGCAGAGAACACAGCACCGGGCGTGCTGTCAAACACCCCTGCAAACGACTCCATCAGCTCATCCCTTTCCTCCAAACGGCCCTGCTTTTGAAAGAATGACCCGCCCAGAGACTGCCGAACCGCCCCCTTTGATGGCCTCTTCATCCTCGTTTTACGCATCTCTTTTTTTAGCACCTTCTTTGCCGCCTTGAGCTTTGCTCTGTCCGCTCTCTTGCCCAATTTCGTGCCTACCGCCACAATTTCTCGACTTACTTCTCTTCTCGCTCCTCCTCGTTCCTCAAGACCACCTCTCACCATCATCCCCTCAATCTCCCGCCCTCTTTCATCACTCTCTTTCCCTCCTTCGTTCAGACTACCCCCCCCCACCATCACCATCTCTCGCCCTGCTTCTCTTCCCTCTTCTCCTTCGTCTTCATGACCCGCCCCCTTCACTTTAACCACTCCCACTTCCCCTTCACCATCCTCCCCCTGTCCTACTTCTCCCTCTTGCATCCCTTCGCCTGCTCCTCTCTCTTGCCATTCCTTTCCTCCCTCCCCAACCACTCCCTTTCTCATCCCCTTCTCTTCGCCCCCCTCCTCTCCCTCGCCTCCCCTTCCCCCATCCCCTCCCTCCTCAACCAACCTTCCTTCTCTTCCCTCCCCTCCCACTCCTCCCCCCTCCTTCCCCCCTTCCTTCTCCCCTACCACTCCCTCCCCCTCTCCCAAGCTACCTCTGTCTCCTTCGACTGTGTCCCACCCCTCACACACAGCAGCATCCTCACTTATGCCATCCCCACTCCCCTTTCCAATCTCCTCTCCAGTCGCCTCTCCACTTCCCTCTCCATTGCCCTCCCCACTGCCCTCTCCACTGCCATCTCTTGTCGTACAGGCATCAGCAGCACCGTCCTCACACTTGATGTTCTCCTCGCCCATCCCCACCTGTCTACCATCAACTGCAGCTTCATCCGTCCCATCCTCCTTATCCTTCTCACAACCCTCCCCCGCTGCACAGGCATTAGAAGCACCGTCCTCAAACTCACTATTCTCTGCGCCCATCCCCACCTGTCTACCATCAACTGCAGCTTCATCTGTCCCATCCTCCTTACCCTCACCCTCGTCTCCCTTGCCCTCCTCTCCCTTTGCCTCCTCCTCCCCTTCCTTCTCATACCCATCAACACACTCCTGTGGCTGCTGTGCCTCCTTCAACTCCCCAGATCCCCCCACCATTCCCTCCACCAAACCCCCCACCACTCCCCCCTGCACCTGATGTCCTTGTCCCTCCAGCATCATACCCTCTCCTTCCCCTGCCTCTCCCATCCACAACCTCTTCATTTCGCCTGCCTCCCCATCAACTCGTCCTGCATCGTTCACCCCCTTCTCTCCCTCCCCTTCAGGAGGGATCCCCATCCCACATTTGCCTTCCACCCCTGCCACGTTACCTTGCTTCTCTCCGCACCCTCTCTCCACCGCACCACTGCCATCGCCCCCTCCCATCCCCTGTCTCTCACTCCCATTCACAGGCTACCTTCTTTCGCCCCCCCTCTTTGTCCTCTCCCTTTTCTTCGCCCCCTTCTTCGGTTTGTCCTTCCACTTCCATCCTCTCAACTTTCTCCCCCGCCTCATTCTCTTCCTTAAATTTCTCTTCCTCCTCTTTCCTCCCTTCCTCAACCTTCCGCTCCTCCAACCTTTCCCCCACTTCCTTCCCCTCCTCTCCGCCCTCTCTCTCTTCAACAGGCTGTGCGTCCACCTCCATCTGTTCACCATCCTCCCCTTCGTCCTCCTTCTCCCCATTCTCCTTCTCCTCTCCTTTCTCCTCCTCCTCCCCCTTCTCCCCTTTCTCCTCCTCCTCTCCCTTCTCCTCGTTCTCCTCCCCTTTCTCAACCTTCTCCTTCTCCTCTCCCTTCTCCTCGTTCTTCTCCCCCTTCTCATCCTTCTGCTCTCCCTTCTTCTCCCCCTTCTCGCCCATAGCTTCCATTGCATAACCCATTCTTCCCTCCTCCACCCCCTCCCTCACTCCCTCCCCCGCTCCCTCCTCCAATCCAACTGCCTTATTAACATCCCCTTTATCACCATCTCTTCTACTACCAACCTGTATCGTCTCATCCTTTCTACCTTTATCCTCTCTATTATCATCCTCTATATTGCCATCCCCTCTATCACTGCTATCTCCCAGCTTGCCATCCCTTGCCGCAGCCATCTCCTCCTGCTCCCCACCCCCTTCCACTCCAAGCTTCATCTCACCTTTCCCCTCCAAATCCTCGCCTACCACAGTCCTTTTCTCGCCCCCCTCCTCTCCTCTCCCCTCTTCCTCTCCTCCCTTCTCTTTCTCTCCTGCTCCTTCCCTTTGCTCTTGCTCCTTTTCCCTACCATCTTCTTCGTTCTCCCTCAAACCCTCCACATCACCACCACCATCACCGTCACCACCATTATTGGTCCCATCGCCCTTTCCTCCCTCCACACTCTCATCCACCACTTGCATTTTAATCTCGCTCCCATCACAAACAAGCCCGTCTCCCTCTCCTTTCCCTCCATCCTCTCCTTTCGCTCCTTCCTTTCCTTCTTTCTCCCTTGCCTCACCTGTCCCCACGCCACTCTCCTCTGTAACCATCCGCCCTGCATCCTCCTCTTCTCCCCTCCCTCTACCCTCTTTCTCCCCACGGACCAGGCAATCGCCCTCCTTCTCCACCCCATTCTCACTCTGCACAACCCTCCTCAACCCATCCCCATCCCCAATCCCATTCCCATCCCCATCTTTACGAGAATCACCACCCACACGCCTATCACCATGCCCATTCAAATGCCCATCACCCCCGCCGATCTGATTCGCATCACCAAGCCCATCTCCACTCCCTCGCCTGTCCCCATCCCCATCACCTTCGCCTGCCCCCGCCACCTTCCCTTCTTTCTTGCTCTCTTCACTGCCATCCTTCACGCCGTCCTCTATGCTGCCTCCGTTGCCGCCCACTTCGCCGTCCCTTTCATCATTATTACCGCCCTCAGCACCACCTGCTGCACTTTCATCTTCAACTGACTGTTTCTGAGGCATCTCAGGGACAGCACATTGTTCCCTCGTTTCAGAAGGCACTTGAATTCTCTCCTCTTCCCCATTCCCGGCTCCCTATCTCCTCACCCTCTACTCTCCCTCCCCTCCCCACTCTCTTTCCCCGTCTCCTCCGCCTCCTCATTCTTTCCCCTTGTGCTCTCCTCAGCCCCTTCACTCTTCTTGACCTCACGTTCCCTCACGGCCTCCGTTTCCCCTACTGCCACTAGTGACCCTTCATGTGCACCATGCAACCCATTTTCTGCACCATCTAACCCCTCCGCAACTTGTGACCCCTCTCCTTTCCTCCCTACCACGCCCTCCTCTCCTTCCCTCACTCCCACCCCCTCAGGCCCCTGTTGACACGCCCCCAAAACAGCTTCCTCTAGCAGCACCACGCAATCCCTGGCACTCCGCCCCTAGCCCCTCACCTTCCCTCTGCTCCACCCCTACCCCTTCAGATTGGTCCACGTCCATGCGTGCAGTCTCTCCCCCATCGCCCCCACCAATACGCCTTCCAGCCCCTTCAACATCCTCCCCTGATTTCTCAACCTCCATGTTGCCAGTGTCAGCCCCTCTCTCCTTGTCCTTTCCAGCCCTTATAGGGCTTTGAGAAGTCTCAACATTTGACTTCTCAACCTCCATCTTGCTGGTTTCAACCCCTTTCTCCGTGCCCTCTCCAACCCCCATGTCCTGCTCTCCAGGCCCCACCGCTGCCCCTGCCCCTGTGTTACTCTGCCCACTTCCCACCTCCCCTCTGTCACCCTGCCCAGTCCCCACCTCCCCCAAGTCACCCTGCCCCACCTCTGCTCGCTCCACTTCCATCTCCTGCGTCTCCATACCCTCTCCAACCACCTGCTTCACTCCACCTCCTGCCTCCCCTCCTGATTTTTCTCCATTTTCCACTGCTGTATTCGCCCCTGAAGCACTTGCCCCTTCAGCACTGGCCCCTCCTGCCCCATCTCCTTCTCCTATTTTCGCCTCCTCTTCCTCCCTCCCACCTCCTCTCTCCTCCTCAACCTTGACCCGCTCATCCTTCGTCACATCCACCATACCCGCACTCGTCCCCTCACTCCCTCCCTCACTCTTTCCCTCACTCGCTCCCTCATACCTAGTTTCTTTCTCTGAGCCGCCGCCCTCTAGCCCTCTAGGCTCGCCCTCCAAAGTGCTTGAAGGCGTCTCAAGAGTGGTCCGAGGCTCCTCTTCCCTATCCCTCTTCTCCTCAACCCTTTTCTTCTCCCAATTATCCTCCTCTCCATTATTCCCCTTTTCCTCAACCCTTGCCCTGTCCCCTTCCATTGCCACCTCAGCATCACCTCTCAAGCCTTCCTCCTTCGGCCGTTGATCCTTCTCATTGAACCCTCCCTTCTCCACATTCCCACCTTTCTCTCCCTTCTCCACATCTTCATTTTTCTCATTCCCCTCGTCCGCACTCCCATCTTTCTCTCCCTCGTCACTTTCAGCTTGCCCCTGCTCCTGACCGTCCCTTTCATCCTCCTCTCCAGCACTCCTCTTTTCCTCAATCCTTGCCCTCTCCTCTTCCGCTGGCCCCTCACCCTCGCCCTCACCCTCCCTTCCCTCTTTCATAATTTCCCTCTCCATTTCATCCATTCCCTCCTTGTTCCATTCTCGACCCTCCTCTATCCTAGCTCTTTCAGATACGGCCTGATTCTCCTCTTCCTCCAACCGCTCCTCCTTCTCCTCCTCCCTTGCTGCTGGTTTCCGCTCTTCTTTCATCTGAGCACCAATCGCCTCTTGTTCCCTGAATTCTATTTCATCCTTTTCCCCCTCATCCTCCGCAGCTTCTCCCTCTTCTTCTTCCTCTTCCTCTTCTTCTTCTTCTGATTCTACCTCTTCTTCTACCTCATCCTCTTCCTCTTCGTCTGTTTCTTCCTCATCTTCCTCGTCTTCTTCTTCCTCCTCCTCTTCCTCCTCCCTCTCCAACATTTCTTGATATTGTAGCTCTTTCTCAAGAGCAATAGCTCGCTCTCGCATCATCTCAGCTGTTCGTTTCGGTGACGGTGCAGATCGAAGAAGCACCTCATCGTCCTCTTGCCCTGGATCTACAAGAAACATATCCACATACGTTCCCCATGCGCACACATTCCCCGTTCACACAAAAACACACCCACAGCACATACAACACTTTAAACTAATAAAGCGTGAGAAATCAGTTCTAAAGATTAAAGCTCCTTGCAAATTATGGCTCCTTGCAGCACATCAAGTAACAGTTTAAACTTCATTCAACTCGTAGCTCTCATTGTTATCCCATGAGCCAAGAAGCAACCCCACTCACCACACACAGTAGGCGCACGAGGCAGCACGCGGTGGCGCTTGGGGCGGGACCCTCGCTGCACGACGAGCGACCAGAAGGAGCCCTTGATGCCAAAGATGTCTGAGAAGCGCAACACATCCTTGCCCCCTTCCTTGAACAGCACCGGCAGCTCACTCCTCCGCTTCCCCTCCTCCTCCTTTCCCTCCGCCTCTCCCTCCTCTCCCTCGTCGTCTCCCCTCCCTCCATCCAGCCCCTCCTCCTCCCCTGACCCTTCCCCCTCTCCTTCCCCAGCCCAATCCATTGCATCCGTCTCACCGTCACCAGCACCCATGCCCTGCTGCCCACCGCCCTCTTCTCCCCCTTCCACACCTTCCCCTTCACCATCAGCATCCTCCTGTTCTCTCATCTCCTCATCCTCCCTCTCCCCCCCAACCCCCCCATCTGCCTCCTCCGCACCCTTGACAGCAGCACCTCCACTCTCTGCCTCGCCCCTCACTCCCTGCTCTTCTTCTCCCTGTCCTCCTTCCTCACTCCCTGCAACCATGTCACCAGCTGCCCACTGTCCTCCTACCATTCCCTCTCCGCTGCCTGCCACAACACCACCTGCCTCCTCATCTGCAGCAGCACCACCTTCAGCACTCTCTTTCTCCTCCTCATCCTCCTCGTCCTCCTCTCCTGCCCCTTCCTCCCCTTCTCCTCCCTCCTCCCCATCATCCAAACCCCCCTCCCCCTCATCCATCCCCCTATCCCCCTCCCGTTCACCCTCATCCATTGCCTCCTCCAACGCTGCTTCTAAGTCCGCCTCCAAATCGTCCTCCTGCTCCTCTGCTCCTTCATTGTCCTCCTCCTCCTCATCTCCCTCCTTCCCATACTCTTCTCCCACACCCTCTCCCTCAACTTCTCCGTCCACTTCCTCCCCTCCCTCCTCCTCCTCTGCCTCCTCTTCCGCCACTCCCTCTTCCTCTGCTTCCTCTTCCTCCCCTCCCTCCTCCTCTGCCTCCTCTTCTTCTCCTCCCTCCTCTGCCTCTTCCCCTCCCTCCTCTGTATCCTCGTCCTCATCCTCCTCTTCCTCTTGACCAATACCTCCATCGTCCTCCCCTCTATCTCCCCCTACCTCATTATCTCCATCTTCACCTTCTTTGCCTTCCTCTTCCTCCTCCTCCTCCTCTTCACCCCCCTCCTCTTCTTCCTCCTCTTCGTGCTCCTCCTCCTCATCCCCTTTCTCCTCCTCCTCATCCTCCTCAGCTTCCTCATGATCATCCAACCCTTCATCCAGTGAGCCCTGTGTGCCCGCCTCTCCTTCCTCCTCTTCATCCAACCCCTCATCTAGCCCATCCCCTTCCTCCTCCTCCATCTTTCCATCGTCCTCTCCTTCCGCTCCTTCCTCTTCCTCTTCCTCGTCTTCCTCCTCCTCCCCTTCCTCGTCCCCCTCCTCCTCCTCATCCTCCTCCCCCTCATCCTCAACCCCCTCTACTGCACCCTCCGCTTCCTCCTCCTCCTCCTCCTCCTCCTCCTCATCCTCGTCCTCTTCTTCGTCCTCTGTGAATCCCAATTCGCCAGGGGTGGTCGGCACTGCAGTCCAAGAGTACACACGGAGAATAAGGTTGAAAGTGAGACAACCAATTCAAGGACAGACAGACCAAGTGCACTCGAGACAATTCCCCGATCGACACCCTCAAAGGAAAACTGCGAAAACAAAACTGCTCAAAAAATTGGAATAATCACAAAACACCCTACTTCCAACACCATAACCTATGCACCCCTGCGTATCTTGGAATCCAGTCTTTGCATTCACTAACACATCACAATCTATCTAACCTGCCGTTATGTCACCCCTGCTTGTAACAAGACCACATGCAGAATCTTCAGCCTCATAGCCTTTTCTTAGTCGACTCAAAACGCCACCGCTACCCCCCCCCCCTCCCTCTCCCGCCCCATACTGGTAACAAGACCTACATGCAGAATCTTCAGCCTCATAGCCTTGAGACGCAAATGCAGCTTCGTCCTCCCCTCCACCTCCCTCCTCCATCCCCTCCCTACCATCCTCCCCTGCTTCCTCACCACCCTCCTCTTCTTCACCCTCTCCCCCATCTTCATCAGAATCCTCCTCCTCCTCGCTTCCTTCCTCTTCTCCTTCCCCCTGCCCTTCTGCACCCCCTTCTCCGTCCTCCTCCTCTTCACCTCCTCCGTCTCCTCCCTCCTCTCCCACCCGTTCCTCCTCTGCTCTATCTGCCTGCCCAGCCTCCTCCAACTCGTCCAGAAGCCCATCAAGTTCCTCATCCTCATCGTCCTCCTCTTCTTCCTCCTCTCCTTGCCTCACTTCTTCCTGCTGCTGCTGCTCGTCTTGTTCCATCCCTCCAAATCCTTCCTCTCCGAATCCAGGATCAATGCCTGCCTCCTCCTCTTCCTCCGCCTCCTTCTCTTGATCCCCTTCACCCTCACCCTCACCCTCTTCCTCATCCTCCTCATCCTCTGCCTCCTCTTCCTCCTCTTGCCCTTCTATTCCCTCTTCTGCCCCAATCTCCACATTCCCCATATCCCCAAACTCCAGCTCCAACCCTGTCACCTCCTCCCGTTTTTCCTCCTCATCCTCCTCCATCCCCTCCTCCTCCTCCACTTCCTCTTCCTCCTCCCCGTCCTCCTCTTCTTCCTCTTCTCCTTCTCCCTCGTCCACCTCTTCCTCTTCCTCCTCCTGCTCCGCACTCCCCTCGATTGCAGCCTCTCCCCCTCCAACTGCACCCATGTTCCCATCCTCAAACCCCCCTTTCCCTGCGCCCTGTCCCGCTGCCTCCTCCGCTTCCTCCTCCCTCTCCTCCTCCCCCTCCATCTCCTCCTCCAGGTCATAATCCTCTTCCTCCCCTGCATCACCCGCACCAACTGCTTCCAGCCCAGCAGCATAATCGAACCCACTTCCACCAGCATCGCCACCAGCAGCAGCAGGAGCAGCAGCAGCACCAGCACCAGCACCGCTGCTACCAGCGCCAGCATCGTCCTCCTCAAACGCCTCGTCTATATCCTCATAGTCCTCTGCATCGTCTGCTTTCCGGTCGTAGTCTGCTCGTTAAGGCAGGGTCGAGGGACACACAAGCATTTTCTTATCAGATCAACAATCAAAACCCATGCAACTACTCCTTTCCGGTTACATCTGTGCGTCAGCACAGCGACAAGGACGCGCGCGCGCACAGTAAATACACAAATCAGGTTTGCTGTCCTGCGATTTCCCATCGCTACCCGCGTTATATGCTTTCCCAATCATGGCCTGCTCGTTCAGCAGCGGCAACGGAGTTAAGCCTGAGAATCAATGTCTCAGCAAACAGGCTCACCATCATCATCATCACCAGCTTGCCCGGCCCCTGACCGCGCCTCAAACTGCCAGGAAAGGTTCAAAGCACAGGGAAACGACACGCGGGCATCAGCGGAGGTCAGCAGTCCCCGAGAAGGCTGAGCGGTGTAAGAAGCCACGTTCATTTTCCTGAGTGCTAAACTGGAAGATAGTCAGTGAATCACATATATCCATCCCATCCCAACAGCACTTCCACGTCGGTCAAGGCTGGGCAGAGCTGGGAGCTATTGGGGTGTTCTTTAGGTCAAATGCTAGGTCAACCAGAATCGAATCATCTAAGGAAGCATAAAACAAAAGATTTTTTCATCACTCGAGAGTACCTCCATGTCAGCCAAGGCTGGACCGAGCTGGTCCGCCAATCCAGCTAAGTGATCCCTCGCCTCCTGCGGGATAAGACAACGAAGATTGTGTAAGAGACGGATCAGGAGGGGTAACACAATGAACCAGAGTGTAAGAATCAGTTCAGGAAGACGGGTGAGACAAACACTGCCAGGAACCAGGACAAGACCGGTCAGATTTAACTAGTATGCAACACACAGCCTTAACCAGCTACCATTCCTGTCAGAACGCGAAAGAACCTGACTTTCATGTTCTTAGCGCAATCATGTTACAGTTTGTGATGAGAAATTGGTGTCACGAGTATTGGAAGGATAAAGACGAAACCGTATATTCATGTTACCTCATCCATGTACTCCTCCTCCAGCGAACCCTCGTCGTTCACGTTCCCTAGCATAAACGCCAGCATGTTCGGCACACCCCTCTCCTCGTCCTCCTCCTCGTCGTATTCCTCCTCCTCCTCCTCTTCGTCCACATGCTCGTCGTCATCGTTACCCTCGTAGCCGGTATTGTGACTAGAGTAATCCATGAAAACGACCTAAAGAAGAGACAAAAACGGTAAGGTTACGTGGGTGGGTGCTAGCTCGCGACGAAGCTGGTCAGTGCGCTTCTTGACGAGTACGAGAAGTTGTGAAATCTAAGAATACGAAGCGACTTCGATATATGAATGCCACTCGCAGCAATCAACGGCGTAAGCAATATCCACTTAATCCCATTGGAATCGCTCTTAGTTTGTTAGGTCCAATACTTAATAAACTGAATCGTTTGCCGTAACTTTCACGTCATCGCAACAGAAAACGCTATCGCATAAATTGCAGATAAACTGAGAAGAAATGCTCCCTGGCTTGGTGACCTATTCCTCTTCGTCGACCTGAATACAGTTACATTACATACGTAGCAAGGCGTCCATCAGGAAGCACTAGTGCTATTTCCTGTCCAGGCATTACCAAGGTGAGACGAGTCGCGCATGGTCCTCTTGGGGTTGGGGTCCGTTTTGCGCCAGACCACATTGAAATTGCCGAGATGTCCGAGTGGGTGAAATTTGTTCAGGATGGACAGAGGTCGCGGGTTCGATTCTTCTGGATGAGGGTGTTCACATGCATAGCCGTATATTTGGTTCCCTAGATGAGCAAAATGTGTAACAGGCTTGACAGGCGACATGATATGCGAAATGGCGCTACCACTTCGTGAACGCTTGCCACGTTGGCGCATAGCGATTGATCGGAACTGTCCCACTGTCAGAAGAATTTCTGACTTTCCGGCCCAAACCAAACCAGTACCTTGGTTGATTCAAAACCCTTGATGCAGTATTGGCGCTCAAAATTTGGCGAAGCCCAAATCTAGTTCCGTCACAGCTTCGACATGTGACAAACAGGTCCGGCTACGAACCTGTCACACTGGCTCGATCTCCGGAAAACTCAAGGAACGCTTCTGCTTGCATGTGTTGAGACAGTTTTCAAGTTCGCTCTCTGAACCGTCCGATCTTTCCCGCCTTTGCCATCGCTCTCCGATCTGGTTTTCCCGCCGCTCTTCCCTCTAATTCATCAGAGCGTGCAATCCCTTCGTTCAGGAGGAATCAGGAACCATGGAAGCTACAGTGGCGCCTTGCTTCTGCACTGCTCTGCTAGCTTTCGAGATCTTGGATGTGTGTCTGTCTGTCATCCCTTAGTGACTGGTAGATCGTCTCAGCGTATGCTGAGCAAGCCTGATCACCAACTATCGCCACAGCTACTCACCGTCCTGACGCGGTCGTTATTTTTTGTTAGCTTCCGAAATATGTATCCTAACACTCGAGCGTCCGCCGATCTGCTTAGGCGTATGTTCGCGCTTTCTAATGTCATTAGCCTCACATGCTGAAACGACCAGGCACTCTGTGTCTCGTATGTCCTCATTGGATCGCTCTTCTGCTCACGTTGTACCTCGATATTGCCGAGATTCGCCTGGTAATGTGGAGGCCAGCCAAGGCTTCCGATCAAATCGGGTACCTGGTAGTCTCGCTGACTGTCTAACAACTCGACACGTAGCGAGCGTCGACGAGAATAGCTATATCGCGTACAGCGACCTGAAGAGCGATCACCGCGCAACAGCTGACCTCGTGAAAGGGAAGCATACTCCTGACCCGAGCTCGCCGAATGCTCGTCGTCCGCTAATAACAAATCTGACCAATCATCAGTCGCGGCTCCATATGGTCGTGAACCAGCCTGCATCCTCGCAGGCTCAAGGGGGATCCGTTTCGCAGCAACGGACTGCGGTCGCTGAAAGTCGCAACCACCGCGATACACTCGAAGCTTCTAGAGCCGACCCTCAGAACCAGCGCCAGCGTGACGGAAGCTCGTTAACGGACAGTCACGATGGGTCGATTCGTGTGGGAAATCCGATGGCGGAGGGAGAGAATCCGGCACATGCGAATGGCGCGTGTCACAGGGTTACAAATTCTTCGCCGTCGCTGCAGTCGACACAGCCGAACCCGAAGGATCGTGTAGCGCAGCGTGAACCGAAATCTGGAGATCGGGAACAGAAAGTCCACACGGCTATAGGGCTTCCCGGTGCTGCTAATAACGCGGACAGGAAAGATCAGATGAAGGTCAACTCTCCACAGCAAAAGGAAGGAGATTCGGGGCCTCGACTGGCCCAAAGTCAGGAGCCTGGAGCAGCTGCCGTTGGTATGCCTGCACTCTCCAGTTCAATCCGAGGAATGGCGCAGCAACAGGAGCAAACCAGAGTGCCAGAGAAGGCTTACCAGCAGCTGTTGCAGCAGCAGACAGCACAGCAGCAACAACCACAACAACCACACCAGCAGCAGCAGCAACAATTGCAGCAGCAGCAGCAGCAACTACAACAACAGCAGAAAAATCAGCAACAACAGCAACCACAGCAGCAACAAGTACAGCAGCAGCAGCAGCAGCAGCAGCATCAACAACAACAATCCGCGCAGCAGCAATCACAGCTGCAACAAGCACAGAAGCAGCAGCAGCAACCACAGGCGCAAGGTCACGAAGGACAGCCGCAGCAGCAAGCTCAGGTAGCGGCGCAGCCGCAGCAACATTCCCAGGCGCAGGCGCAGCAGCAGCAACTTCAGGCGCAGGCACAGGCGCAGGCGCAGGCACAGGCGGAACAGCAGCGGATGGTATCCCATGGTCAAGCTCAGCAAATGCAGACGCAGCCGGTGCAGCAGTTTCAACCGCAGCAGCCTTTTTCCTCCCAGCTTCCCGTCGTGCAACAGCAGCAGCCTCAGCAGCCTTACTATCAGCAACCACAGCAGCAGCAGCCGATTCCTCAGCAATTTCTTCCTGGCCCAATCCAACATCAGGCGCAGCAGCTAATACAGCCGCAGCAGCAGCAGTACGGTCCACCTGCGTACCAGCAGCAGCAACTTCAGCAGCCGCAACAGCAGCTGCAGCAGCAACCTTTCCTGCAGCAACAGCAGCAACAACTGGTGTCAGAACCGCAGCAAAAGTCAATGCCTGACCATCAAACAATGATGCAACCGCAGCAACAGCAGATGCAGCAGATGCAGCAGCAGCAGCAGCAGCAGCAGCAGCAGCAGCAGCAGCAGCAGCAGCAGCAGCAGCAGCAGCAGCAGCAGCAACAGGCTCAGCAGCAGCAGCCGCAGCAGCAGCCGCAGCAGCAACAGCCGCAGCAGCCGCCGCAGCAAGAGCAGCAGCAGCAGCCGCAGCCGCAGCCGCAGCAACAGCAGCAGCCGCAGCAACAACAGCAGCAACAGCAACAGCAGCAGCCGCAGCAACAACAGCCGCAACAGCCGCAGCAGCCGCCGCAGCAAGAGCAGCAACAGCCGCAGCAGCAGCAGCAGCAGCAGCAGCAGCAGCAGCAGCAGCAGCAGCAGCAGGGATCTCAGGCTTCCTCATCCGTTCCTGTAATGAACGGTGTGGCAGTGATGCCGCAGCTGCAGCAGGGCATGGGGCAGCAAGGCATGGCTCAACAGGGCACGGCACAGCAGGGCATGGGGCAGCAGGGTATGGCGCAGCAGGGTATGGCGCAGGGTATGGCGCAGCAGGGTATGGCGCAGCAGGGTATGGCGCAGCAGGGTATGGCGCAGCAGGGTTTGGCGCAGCAGGGTATGGCGCAGCAGGGTATGGCGCAGCAGGGTTTGGCGCAGCAAGGCATGGCGCAGCAAGGCATGGTTCAGCAGGGCATGGCGCAGGCACAGGGCATGGGTCCGCCGCAGATGGTGGCTCAGCTGCAGGCTATGGTGCAGGGACAGGGCACAGGGCAGCAGGGGATGCCCCACCCTCAGATGCATCACGGAATGATGCAACAGGGCATCGCGCAACAGGGAATGGCGCAACAGGGTATGGCGCAACAGGGTATGGCGCAACAGGGTATGGCGCAACAGGGTATGGCGCAGCATGGGATGGCGCAACAAGGCATGCCGCAACAAGGCATGTTGCAACAAGGGATGGGGTTTGCGCAACAAGGCATGGCGCAACAGCAAGGCATGGTGCAACAAGGGATGATGCAGCAAGGCATGCCGCAACAAGGGATGACGCAGCAGGGGATGGTGCAACAGCAAGGCATGGCGCTACAGGGGATGATACAGCAAGGCATGGCGCAACAAGGCATGGCGCAACAGGGGATGGCGCAACAGGGGATGGCGCAACAGGGGATGGCGCAACAGGGGATGGCGCAACAAGGGATGGCGCAACAGGGGATGGCGCAACAAGGGATGACGCAACAGGGGATGGCGCAACAGGGGATGGCGCAACAGGGGATGGCGCCACAAGGGATGTCGCAACAGGGGTTGGCGCAACAAGGCATGCCGCAGCAAGGCATGGCGCAACAGCAAGCTCCACAGCAGCCGATGTTTGGCTTCCAAGGGGGGCCATCCGCCTTCCTGCCTCACAACGGACAAGCCTACCAGCAACAGATGCAACAAGTGCAGCCGATGCAGCAGGTGCCCTCTTTCCAGCAAGGCCATCAGATGCAAGAAGGCCCGGTACCGATGCAACAAGGCTCGGTACCAATGCAACAAGGCTCGGTACCAATGCAACAAGGCCCGGTGCCACTGCAACAAGGCTCAGTGTCCATGCAACAAGGACCGTTACTGATGCAGCAAGGCTCTGTACCGATGCAACAAGGCGCGGTGCCAATGCAACAAGGCTCGGTATCGATGCAACAAGGTTCAGTACCGATGCAACAAGGCCCGGTGCCCATGCAGCCGTCAGTTGGAGCGCCAATTCAACCAGGCCTGCCAATGCCCCCGCACCAGCCGTTTCCTGCCACCCCTACCATGCCAATGACAGTGCAAGTGGTTTCAGCTTCCCTTCCTGCCCCCATGCAGCAGCAACAGCACCATCAGCCCCAGCAGCAGCAGCAGCAGCCCGGTCATGTTCCTGGACACAACAACATGCCTGGTATGCAACAGTCTCTCGTCTCTCTGATTGGAGACTCAGCTACTCTCCCTTGGTCTCCAACACGTTTGTTCATATACTCATCGCCACCACGCACTCATTTACCACCTCTCTCGCTCTCCTCCCCCACCCCTCTCTCTCTCCAGCAGATTTCTTCGGCTGATAAGCTCCCTTCACTGAGACGGAGTGGCAGGAGCATCCGCTCCCTCCTTCCCTCTCGCTCACTCTTTCCCTCTCGCTCACTCTTTCCCTTCTGTATTCCTGCTTTCCTATCCCTCTTGCAGGCGACTTCGGGTCGTTGGCGCCCTTCACAGTGACGCAGTGGCAGGAGCTGGAGCAGCAAGCACTTGTATTCAAGTACCTCGTGGCAGGCTGTTGAGACAGTCTTTCACAAGCCCCCTTCTTCCCTCTCTCCCCTTCCCCCTTCGCCCCACCCATCTCTCAGGCGACTTCGGGTCGTTGGCGCCCTTCACAGTGACGCAGTGGCAGGAGCTGGAGCAGCAAGCACTTGTATTCAAGTACCTCGTGGCAGGCTGTTGAGACAGTCTTTCACAAGCCCCCTTCTTCCCTCTCTCCCCTTCCCCCTTCGCCCCACCCATCTCTCAGGCGACTTCGGGTCGTGGGCGCCCTTCACAGTGACGCAGTGGCAGGAGCTGGAGCAGCAGGCGCTAGTATTCAAGTACCTCGTGGCAGGCTGTTGAGACAGTCTTTCACAAGCCCCCTTCTTCCCTCTCTCCCCTTCCCCCTTCGCCCCACCCATCTCTCAGGCGACTTCGGGTCGTGGGCGCCCTTCACAGTGACGCAGTGGCAGGAGCTGGAGCAGCAGGCGCTAGTCTTCAAGTACCTTGTTGCAGGCGCGCCCGTTCCCCCCCACCTCGTTGCCGCGCTCAGAGCCTCCTGCGCGCGCCTACCCCCCTTGGCCGCACTGCAGCAGCCCCCTGCTGCCCCCGGCCAACGTGAGTCCCTCTCTCTCCTGTGCATGTCCATCCTATGCATATGCTCGTTCCTTTGCTTGTTGCTCCACTCTCACTCGTATCAACACCGACCGTACCTTTTCCTCCTCTGCCTCATCCTTCCGTGTTCTCCACATTCCTTCTCGTCTGTGTCCCGTCTCGTCTTGCCGCTTCTGACTCATCAAGCCTCTCTTGCCACCCCTCACTTCCCTTTCCTCTCGCCTCTCGCCTCTCTCCTCTCTCCCCGTCCCACCCTTGTCGCCTCTCCCATCAAGCAGCGGGGTGGGGGCAGGTTACACAGCAGGTGGAGCTGGAGCCGTTTAGATGCAGACGAACGGACGGCAAGAAATGGCGGTGCTCCCGAGAGGTATGTATGAGAGTTTGGGATTATTTTAGAGAGGTATGTATGAGAGTTTGGGATTATTTTAGAGAGGTATGTATGAGAGTTTGGGATTACTTTA